CAGTAGTTCTGCCCCTCCAGGCCCCAAAGAATGCTAACTCCTGGTGGTGCATTGTCCCAAACACGTTCCCCAGGGCACCCGGTGCAGCCAACTCTAGGTGCAGGGATGGGAGAAGGGGAAGTCAAAGACTCCAAAGGACTCTCTGATCCCTTATTCTAAAGCAAAGATAGAAACATCTCATCAGCTAGGGGGAAAAATGCATGCAAACCACATCCCTCATACTTTATTTTGAGCTTACCCTATACCCTGGGGTGCCTCTGCCTGCCCCCCGTGCAAACTTATTTCACTAAATATTGAAACACACACCAGGTGTTAAAGGGTTCTCAAGTTTTTTGAGATGTCACTAATAACTCTCAATAAGCCCTGGTTTAAGATTTGCCCCGGGTTTTTGTGCACATTATTTGTTCCATGTGAACAAATTGAGCAACATTTTTTAAACAATCTGAACTTATACCCTGCTTTAAATTCATGCTGTGGAACTTAAACAAAACTGGATCCTTTACCCACCTCCCAGCTGCAAAAATACTATTTATTTTTCCTGCAAATGGACCATAGATGAGGGTAAAACAAATGTCTTTCTGTCTTGAAATGTGTAGATATAACCTTTTTTCCTGGCCAAACTCCCAAAAGGTAAACATCTAACAGAGTGACTGATATCACCCTTGTCTAAAAAAAAAAATCAAATAAACAAACAGAAAACTTCATCTCTTACTGAGTTGAAATCAGGAGATGGAGTCTCGGCTCTGTTTGGCCCTGACCTCTTGGGGGGGCTGTGGGATGCCCTCCACCTCTCTGTTCTTGGTCCCTGTTCAGTGAACTGGTGAGATGGGCTAAGGAATGGGAGGGAACTTGATCTGAAACCCCATCCAACTCGAAAATCCTGCCTCCAGACCAAAACACAGGTAAACAATCGTAAGGGCTCATTCTGAAAAACTGTTAAATGTTGGCTCAAAACATGGGTACTGAGAAATCACTGTCATGCCGCTTCAAAGGAGAACCCCAAGCTCCAATCCTGACCTGAAGGCTGTCTATCTTATGTCCTCACTGGTCCCTTTAATGCAGTAATGTAGTAATATATCTATTGCTGGACCTTGAGGTGTTTGCGGCTGAAGGTGAGAGGTGTGGGAAGTTTCCACGGCCTCCTCAGGCACAACCGGGTGACCACAGAGGGTTCCTCCTCCCCAGCTTTCTGATTCAGAGGAGGGGACGGCTCTGGTGCTGAGAATAACTTCTTCCCACCGCTGAGATCCTAACCGTGGGGCTGCCCTGGGCCCGGGAATGACTAAGAACCTCCAGGAGCGGCACTCAGTGCTCACCAGAATGGCCACACTTTCCTGAAAGACGATCCTCGGCTTCCTCCTCAGCCGCAGTCTCCAGAATCCAGTTGATGCCTCTCAGACTGGAGGTCCTTGGAGACCTAACCAGGAGGCTGACCACAGCGGGCTTGGTGTGGTCAGAGGCAGGCCTGTGGGCAGAGGCCATGGGAAGGCAGCCCACGCAGGGCAGGCGTCCATCTCAGCCCTGAGCCGCCTCTACGTCCCCTTCAGCCCTTACATCTGCGTCCCCACTGAGGGACTCACTAGGGGCTGGAGAAACCCAGCCCTGCTCTTCAAGAGCAGGGGCCTAAGCTCTCATTCCAGAATTAGTTAAGTCAGGGGCCTGGGCTTTCAGTCCCACCTCCGCCCCTGCCTTGGGTGTCAGCTGTCTGCTCCAGGCCTCTGGAAACAGGGAAAGGGCTGGCTGGCCTTCCATTATGTTGTTCTACAATTCCTGTGTGTTTCCCATGTCCCTCTGCACACTGGAAAGCCTCCCCTGCATGGGGCTCTGTCTGCCGAGCCACTCACTCTCCAGGCCCATCAGTCATGAAGACATTTTTTGGGTCCTGTCAGGAGGCAGGTAGGGAACGCTTAGAGCTGCGTGTAAGGGCTGCTGTCTGAGCTCTGGGCTCCAGTCAGGGTGTAGCCTCTTCAGGCCAGGAAAGAACGCCCTCAGCCCCCAAGGAGGGCTGTCCAGAGCTGACGTCAGCCTCTCGTGGTGCAGTCAGTGGGCTCCAGGGCCAAGAGGATGAGGTGCCCGCCCCCTGCTCCGCCTCCCTACCCATGCCTGGGGGAGCCCACACCACTGCGGCCCAGCTCCCACCTTCCCATCCTGCAGGCCGACCTCGGAGCCCAATCCAAGTGCACAGCCCGGCCAGCTGGGCCCACAGAAGCAAGGTCAACAGTGACAGAGCATCCCTGGATTGATGGTGACTGACAGCCACCAATTCCCTCCAGGCTCCACGGGCACAGACATCCTCTCCTCTCAGTCAGCTGAGGAGCAGTGCCAGAGAGCCCCTGACAGAAGCCCCTCGGATGTGGGCAGTGTTTCTGCGCTCTCTCTCAAAGGTCATCTTTCCACAGTTCCTCCCTTCCTGCTATTCCATCCAGAGTTATTTATTTTGCAGAGCTAAATGCCACAGCCCTTCTCAGCTACCCTAGCAGCATTCCATCAGAAAGCAGTCAACAAACAGCAGGAGAAGGCAGCACGCGAACAGCAGAGTACAGTGCCCAGCCTATGAGATGAAGGGGGTGTCAATCTGTCACGGACGTCCCAGATCAAAGCCAGACTCCCTTCCTTTGCCTTCAGACCTCTCCTTTCGGCTCCCAGCCAAGGCCACCAGGTCACTACATCTGCCAGGTCACTCCCAGGTGAGCCCTTGGCCACCTGTGAAAGGGACTTGAGATAATGCGAGAAAGACTTGCAAAGCACACCAATTGTTTTGTGGATTATAGCATCTAAGGTAAGGTGGACGTGGGGGCCCCAGGGTAAGCATAGGCACACCCTGTCTTCACTTTGGAGTGACAAGTGGCTGTTACATACATGTTTCTGGTTAGGTCCTTAACCACTGCCCCGGGGAAGGGAAGGGCACAGGGAGTGGCAGGCAAGTTAACGTCTCAGGGCACCATTTAGGAGCGAGGTCTTCTTCTGGCCTCAGTGACTGAGGACCTGTGGAAACCAAAGGTCAGCCTTAGGGAACCATCGGTCTGGGCCCAGCGTGTGAATCCACAGTGGTATCTGCCCCGAGTGTCCACGGCAGAACCCAAGGGCAGGTGCTCTTTCCCAGGCCCTGTCTTCCTAGGGGACCACGGCCAGAGTACAGGTGCCCTAGTAGGGGGGCGATCTGCTGATGCCCTCATATGTACTGGCAGCATCTTGGAGCCCAACACACACTGTGTGCCAGGATTTTGTTGAAACCTGTCTAGGAGACTCCTTCTCTGGCCATCTTGCTAGGGTTCCACATGTAGCCCTTTGGGGGGAACAAACCCTAGAAAAGTGCCATAACTAGATCAGCTGGAGATGTATAAACATATGAGGAAGGAATCTCGTTAGAAAGACGCCCACTCCCAGACTTGGCCCACCAAATAATGAGATCGTCACCACCGCTGCGCAGCTGGGGACGGAATGAAAGCAAAAGGGGTCCGGCTTTGCCTCTGCGCCCTGCCCCACCAGGGACGCCTGCCCAGGGACGCCATGCAACTGCATGAGCTCAGGAACTGGGTGCTAGCATCTCCGAGGATTTCAGGGAGTATGGTTGACCTGGCGTGTCACATGGAACAATAATAGTCAACATTCACTGAGTCCTCAACTCATGTTCAGGTGCTACAATGAGCACCCTATGTGGATTAATTCACTGAATTCTCTCCAGGACCCTGCGAGGAAAGGACTCTAGTTATCCCCAGTCTACAGCTGGGAAAACTGAGGCATGGGGATTCCACAGCCAGCTAGTGAGGCAGCTGGGAGGGAGCCCAGGCCAGCTGCCTCCAGATACCCACACAACCCCTGGGCTTGCACCACGCCTGGGAACAGGGTCTGTGCCCTGGAGCTGATCGATGTCCTGCTGGACCATCAGGGCCCTGAAGCCAGGAGGGGCTCTATCAACACCAGAGCCGTGGGTCAGGGCTGCAGCCTCAGGCCCCCAAACCTGCGGGGCAGCTTGGGTGACAGTCACCCCTGTGCCCACAAAGCGCCCAGGGACCCCGCAGAGTTTCCTTACTGGCATCCCCTGCTCTGTCTCCTTTCTCTCCTTTCTCTCCTTTTGGGCCTCGGTCACCTGCAACAGAGCAGGAAAACTAGCATTAGAAATGGAAATAAATCCTATGTGAATACAATATTCTCTGTAGGAGACTTAATAACCCAAAGCCAAGGGCCCACGGCACCGGAGGGCATGGCAGGGCAGCAAAGGTAAGAGCCGGAGCTGGTTATGCAGCCTGCAGGTAGGAGGTGGGGTTTCAGCCGGGAAGCTTCATCCCTTCCTGGTTGAAGTGTCGAAGAGGGGCGTGCACCAGCGCACCCCAAAACAGTCAGCAGGAGGAAGACAAAGCAAAGTATCCCTATTAAAGAGCTAAGGTTTTAGAAGCCCACATCCAAGTTTGCTCTGATAAGCACAGGAGGGGAAAAGGAGGGAGGCTCTTCAGTTACATAGGGACACACAGGTTATACGCCAGGTTTACCAGCAGGAGAGACAATAGAACATGAGGGAGAGTTTCCAGGGAATTGAGGAATTTCCTTCCCCGGATATGTTAAAAGAGCAAAGCTCTTTTTCCGGCTAGCATCTCACTACCAAGAAGTGCAAGGTCCTGACACCTCTCAAGGGGACACTAAAGTGAACAGGGAATTCTATTCCAGAAAGATACCTGCAGATCAAAAGCTTATGGCATGTGACCTGGTAACAAAAGCACGTCAGCAAGTTCCAGGGGTGGATGCCTAGTGTGCTCCAAGTTTTGACAAAAAAAATAAATAAAGGCAACCATGTATGTAAATATGAATGTGCTTAGGAAAGGATCTGGCAGGATATGCTCCAAAGTGTTTACAGTAGTCATTCTAAAGAGTAAGGGACTCATTTTTTACTTTGTACTTTATACACTTCTGTATTGTTAAATTTTCTCAAAAAGCATGTGCCACTTTTATAGTCTTGTTTTAAAATCAATTTTCAAAAATGTAGAGGGAAAACCTCAGCCTATTTAATCATCAACCAGAAGGTAGAATAAAAGTTCCCAGGGATCCAAGATTAAGAGACCATCCTAGACCTGGGATGGGAACAGTCACAGCACTTCCTCTTAGTTTCCGTTTTAACAAGCAAGAAGCTGGGGCCTGGGGAAAGAGCATCAGACCTCCTCTCTGCTTCTGCGATGATGACAGGAGGTCTGGACACTCTGGAAAGACTGACTGATTCTGAAGTGACTCCCCTAAAAATGAACAAGGTGACGATCAGCAGGAAGAAAGAAAATTCAGGAGAAACACCATTGGTAACGTAGGTCTGAGAACTGAATTCAAGTTTTAAATATTTGGCGAATATTTAAAATTTTTAAATCTTTGTGATGGGCTGTTAGGAATCTGGCAGCACTGGGGAGGGGGTGGCACACAACCTGGGTGCGCGGCCTCTGTTCTCCTGGCTTGGCTTCCTCTGCTTACCTCACTGAGCCGCAACCAGGAGTAACACCCCCTTGCATTTCTATAGCACGTTAGAGTTTACAAAGTTTTTTCATGCATATACATCCCACTTAGTCCTTATGACAGCCCTGCGAAATATGGTACTAGGAGGATTTCTAGATTTTGGATGAAGAAACTGATATTCAGAGACATCAAGTGACTTGTCCAAGGTCACTATGGTGCCTGCATTCCAGTGCCCATGCTGGTGCCCAGGGCCTAGCAGCGAGTGTGGCTCTGTGCTCTCTGAGATTAGTCGTTACCTTTGAACCCGCGCATGCCCATCGGTCCTGCGGCCCCCAGCTTCCCATCGTCGCCCTTGGGGCCAGGCAGTCCTGAGGTTCCTCTCTCCCCTGGCAGACCTGGGCAGACAAGAGACATCTTGTGGAGCCTTAGACTCAGAACTAGAAGGGCCCTTAAAGGTCATCACCTGGCCCAGCAATCAACCTCAGTCACGCATCTTCCCGTAGCTCTGCTTGCTCTCAGTTAAGTAAGGTACAAAGGCAGTGTTCAAAAAGCCATCACGAACCTTCCCCATCAGCACCTTTTTATCCAGTTAGACCGCACCCCTCCCCCTGACAGGTTTCATTCTACTGCGAGAGATGGTGGTGGTGCCATTAGGGGGTGTCCCTTTAGCTTTGCTGGAAATTCAGATTCTGCAAACCCTCTTTTAAGTACTTTCTATGTGCCAGACACTGTCTTGGATGGTTTTCATAAAGCATCTCATTTAATCTTCACAATAAACTGAGGAATTATTTCATCTCTGCTACCAATGAGGAAACTGAGGCCCAGAGAGTTTAGGTAACCTGCCTATCGCCACACAGCAGAGAGTGTTGGAGGTGGGATCTGAGCCCTGGTCTTCCTGAAATGAAAGCTCATGGTCAGATTCATCTCATGCTGCATGAAAAGTGCTTACTAGGACCTAGGGTAGGAGAAAGATGAACACTCCCCTTCCTATTTAAGTAAAAAACAAAAGGTCTGCTCTGTGCTGTAACACAGGGAATTACAGCAAAGGGGATCATATGCTTAGGAGGAGGGAGGAGTCAGCAAGGTCAGGAAGTAGGTCAGATGACCTGCAGCCAGATCAGCCCGCAGGGCTCTTGGCCATGAGGCCCCACAGCCACGGCCTGCATTTCACCATGGACAGCCAGAATCAACAGATGGTTCCACCCAGCCAGAGCCCCTGAGGCCTGACCGAAGCCCACAGTTATCTCTGCAAAGCAGAGAACCCTCAATTAACTGATTAATTGTTCTTTCCAGCTTTGAATGTAAGTTGGCTTTCTCTGGTCTTTTTCCAAGACATGGAAAAACCTGTCTTCCAGTAATTATCCCTCCAGAGCTAATGTCAAATGGCTGGAGGAGGATGCATGGCCCCAGGAGGGTGGCTGGACCTCAGAGAAGGGTGGACTGATTTCTTTTTCTCTTCCTAACACAGTGAATCTTATCCTGGAGTCCAGCAGCCCTATTGCCACAGAATTCTGCCTCTAGCGCAGCATATGCCCAGGGCTCCCCATCCTATAACTTAATAAGACAGAAAAAGGGCTTCCACAGCTCTGAGCCCCTGGGCACCCTCAATTCTGAGTTTAGGGAACTCCCTGGAGCGCGGAGGCAGGAATGGAGGCCAGGCCGTGTGCCTCTGCCTCCTTCCCTTCTTGCAGCCTCCCAGAGGCTGAGGAAGGGGCTGGTTTGGAGGTATAGTTCCTGATACAACCAAGCAGACCCCTGCCCTCCAATAAACTTCTCTTTCTCTTGCATCATTTAGAAGAATTTACATTGTCCTAGAAAAATGCTGCTCACAGCAGAGGCTCAGGAATGCTCAGACTGGGACGCAAAGTTTGATAAAGTAACAGAACAACTGCTGAGACAACGAGTCCAAGAAGAACGGATTTTTTCCAGAAAGCTGAAAAGTACCCTCCCACCGCAGCTGATCTTCAGGGCTGTCACCAGCGTGCATAGCTGGATGGGGTGGTAAGGAGACGGGCCAGGGTTTATTGACCTGGGAACACTGGGGGCCCAGCGCAGATGAAGGGCTGGTCCTGGACCGCGGGTGCCCTCCATTCCTCCTGGGGCCCCCGGGCACAGACACCCTCACTCCTGGTGGGCGGAGTGGCCTCCAGGAGATGTGAGCCTCTCTTCCCCCCTTTTCCTTTAGCTCCTGGCGCTTCTATGAAAAAACACTTGCTCCAGTTACACTAGCAGCCTCTCTACTGATCTCGGCACAGAAATGGGCATTTGAAGCTGCGCTGGGGGACACCCTCCCGGGGAGCCTCATCACCAATGCCAAGGAGAAAGTAGGGGGTCGGGTAGGGACTGGGGGCCCCTCCCAGGGTCTCCCCATTACCTCGAAGTCCAGGTAGTCCAGGGATTCCAGGCTCGCCTTCCTTCCCTTCGTCCCCCTGATCACCTTTGGGGCCCGGTGGTCCTGAAAGGGTCACACACAGCATCAAAGGTAAAGGGCGCTTTCTGCAATGGGCCACCTTGAGGAAACAAGCCCTCCTTCCTGGAGAGAGGAATGGTCAGCATTGCGCTGTGCAAGCTCGCAGGCTCCAGCTGGCCCAGTCTTGCGTGTGTGCAAGGGAGTCAGGGAAAGCTTCCTGGAAGCAGTATTCTCCAAAGAGAAGCCTCAAGGAGGAACAGAAGGCGGCTCAGGAAAGGGGGAGGCGGCAGGGCGCTATGGACCGAATGTTTCTGTCCCTCCCAAGTGCACATGTTGAGTTCCTAATTCCTCATGCAATGGTATTTGGAGGTGACTAGGTCAGATGAGGTCATGAGGGTACCGTGCAAGGGCACAGCAAGAAGACTGCCATGTGCCAGCCGAGAAGAGGGCACTGAAGTCCAGAGCCCAGCCATGCTGGACTTCCAGCCTCCAGGCCTGTGAGACACAAATGTCTGCTGCGCAAGAAACCTGGCCCGTGGTATTTTGCTTTGCAGCCCGAGCGGACTAAGATGGGATGAAAGGGGAGAGTTCCAGGGAGAAGGAATGTGAGAGCTTGAAGATAAGAAAGAGGTATGCAAACTACGATGGGATCAGGAGCTGGGGCATGTGATGGGATTAGGGGGTCCTTGGAGGCCTGGCCTCAGTGTTGGATGTGACCCCAAGGGCACCTGACCCCAAGGGCACCAGAAGCCACAAGAGGAGCCAGAGAGAAAGAAGAGTGGTCGGGTCTGCACAGGCGGAAGGCGGCTCAGGCTGCTACTCTGGAAAGTGATGGGAACAGAAAGAAAAGCAGAGGCGGTGGGGAGGCTGCAGGCCAGGCGAGAGGTGGTGGGGCCCGAGTCAGAAGTGGCGGTCAGGGGGCATGTGAGCGGCTGTCTGGGGGTAGAAGAGACCCAGGTGAAGGCAGGGAGGTGGCCGGCACCACGGTCAGGCTTCCGGCTTGAGCTCCTGGATGGAGGAAGGGGTTTCTAACTGCTCCTGAGTGGGCCTTCCTTCCAGGGCAAGTCAGGGATTCGAGTGCACGCGACTGGACTCAGAGCTCCCGACTTGTCTGACGCCACACAGCCTGCTAGCAAGTGAAGAGCTGCGGCTTCCCTGGGTCCGTCCGGTCCCGTCTGCTCTGCCTCACTGGGGACACTAGGCATCTCGCCATTCCCAGAATGGGACAGAGCTGCCCACCACTGCAGCCGGTTGCTCTTCCTGCTCAGTCTCCTAGGGCTACTGTCTCCCGCCCCAGGCTGCTCCTTCCCACCTTCCTGTCCCAGCCCTCTCTGGCCCGTCACTCCCGCAGAGCGTGGGCACAGCCTGTGAGAACGCACATACTTGGTGCCATCGGGCACGTCGCTCACGCAGCCGCGTTCTCTGGCCCCGGTGGATGCGATCTCCCATTACTAACAAACCGCCGGCTCAACCTGGACATCCCCGCACCAGCAGTGAGCAGACCCCAAGGCCCCTACTCCACTGCTTTATGAGAGAAGATGGGGCCCAAGGAAAATGTCAAAACCATATTGTAGTGACTAGGAGAGTGTCCCTCAAAATTCATGTCCACCTGGAACCTCAGAATGTGACCTTACTGGGAAATAGGATCTCTGCAGACATAACTGGCTAAGATGAGGCCCCACCCAACAGCTGGTGTCATAAGAAGTGAAAGCACAGACAGATTCAAGGGTGGAACCCCGCATGACAAATGGGCAGAGATCGGAGAGATGTGTCTACCAGCCAAGGAATACCATGGATTGCCAGCAACCACCGGCAGTTAGGAAGAGGCCAAGGAGGACCCTCCCCTTCAGCCCTCAGGGAGGGTGTGCTCCTGTGGACACCTGATTTGAGACTTCAGCCTCCAGAACTGGGAGAGAATAAATTTCTGTTGTTTTAAGCCACCCAAGTCTGTGGTACTTTGTTATGGCAGCCCCAGGAAACCAAAACGTGTATACGCACATCGCAGGAATCTCTTGCACAACAAATACTTGATGAATGAATGAGTATGTGAGATCAGGGGGTGTTAATACACACAAAACAGCCAGGCAGCCAAGATGGAGATGTACTGATAACATTCCAAACGTTAGCGCTGTCCTCACACCCTAAGCAGAGTTGACAGCTATTTAATAATCCAATGGCACACGCACAGGGGAAAAGTTATCAGCAATTAAGAAACCCACGAGTTACACAAATCATTTAAGGAAGGATTTTGTAGCCATCTCTCGTTTCTCTGTGAAGGAAAGCAAAGTAACACTGGCCATGTTGAGTTCAGCTTTCAGACGACAGCACTGAGAAGCCGAGCTGGTTTGGAACCTGCCTAAGATCAGACAGACGGGTTTCACAGCACCCATGCCAGCAAGATCCCGTTCAAGGCAAGGCACCTGAGAGAGGTGCCTGGACCTTTCACTCCATGTGCTGGCACTGGGCCGGACCCCTTTTCCCTGCCTCCAGTATGCCCCACTACTTTACACTCTTCTCTGCCCTCTCCTACCCTTCCCACGTGGCACTTGAGCGGGTCAAGGATGCCATGGGCCATATACTCTAATATGTTCTATTTGCCCTGATGACTCAACATATGGACCCTCCCAGGAGGATTTCTTGTGAAGGGAGGCTGCGGCCCAGTGGACTGCCCCTGATGGTGGGGCATCGGGGTGGCAGAGGCAATTGGAAAGTGGGGCTGAGTACAGCTCTGTGGCCTCCTGGTGGTCAGGTCCTGGTTCTATAATACCTAAGTAAAAATTCCCTCCCAGGCATTTGTAATGAGGAGTAAGTGGATTAAATGATGTAAGAGATATATAAGGGCTTGGTAACCTCTGAATAGCATGGTCATTCTGACCATCTGTACCCCACTTTTCATAAACTATTCTGAGATTCCTGCATATGGTAATTCTAAGCTGCACTGAAGTTCCCCTGCCGAGCTTGGCTGGGTCATTCAGGGAGAGCCAGGTCTTAGTCCCTCCTATGCACCACAGATATAGTTTTTAAGACACAAATAAATGGTTGATGAGGGCCTCTCCTAGAGATTAACTGGGAAGAAGTTGCAGTGGATGGTAAAGGTGGGAGCTGATTTCCAAACTTCAGTGACATCCTTCGGTGGTAGGTACTGGCCCACAGACTCAGAAGATCCTAAAACGTGGCCAGTCTGACTGCCACGGGGCCTGGGACCTCCAAGGATCCTGAGCTCCAAGGGCCAAATGTTTCTTCAAACCGTCGCTGCTCATGGGCCACGCATTCTTGGCGTCTGACATTTTATCATTTTCTCAGGAATCCAGTCTAAAAATTTAGAACTTGCTGTGACTCCCTGCTTTCCGCTGCCCCCCACCCCCTTATTCATCAAGGCCTGTCACAGAGGCGGCTCCCATGCCATGCTTCTGACTCTGTCCCCACTGCCACCACCCGCATCGGGCACCCCATGGCCTCATTCCCAGCTTCATAAAGGCCTCGTCTCTGGCCTCTCTCTCAGAACTGAATGAGCTCAGAGCCCCTCACAGTGCGATGGGCCACGGTCCCCTCTGTTGGAGATCCCTGCAGGTCATTCCCAACATGACCCCCTTCTTTTGAAAACTCAGTCTGATGCTTCCAGACATAAACTCTCTTCTACCTCAAGAAAAAGGTTCCATGGTGTCCCCAAACATCAGTCAAACGCTTCCCTTTCTATATGTCCCTCTTAGCCCTGAAGCTCACCTTCACACACACCCTTCTGATCCCTTAGGGCACAGGGCAGAGCCCCCTAATCCCAGAGTTGGAAGGAGCTTCAGACATCATTGTGCACAAACTCCCCATGGGATCACCCTTGAGCCTGGGCAGGCCACCCTGGGCGCACCCCCTGGGCACTGTCACTCCTCTCAGGCTGTGGTCCCCAAGAAGGACAGGCCTAACTGCAGGGCCAGAGTCGTACTCTCGGTGGCCCTGTGCCTCACACAGCACCTGGCACACAGAATCAGGAGATTCAAAGAATTACTGCCAGGCAGTCATAGAAGCTGTCCGGCATCAGCGGTCCCAGTGGCACCCAGATGAGCTATTTACTTTCTCCACTTTTTACGCCGTCACTTGCTCATCTTTTCTCTTGCCGAAGCGGCCAGAGCAAGAGGGTGGGACAGGAGGAGCAGGGTCTCTTCCCCGTGTTTGCAGGCATCCCCCCAGCGTACCCGCCTCCCGTGGGGCTGTGCCCGGGCCCCTCTCCAGGCCTGGCCCCTGTGTGTTTCTGCCCTCCCCCAGACTGCCTGAGAGCCATGAACCCTGGAAGCATCTCCAGAACAGTCTGCAGGATATGTGACCAAGCATTTGGGAGAAACACTAGGGTTCTTCTGAAGACCAGCCAACCGGGAGGGAAAAGCAATCCATTCCCCCTCCTGGGTCCTGGAAGGAGCAGTGGGGCTGGGGACCTGCGTGTACAGGAGTCAGGACAGTGACCTCCAAGGCTGAGTTACCAGGACAGCTGATGAGGTGAGCCTGATGCTAAAAGAGCGGTGACTAAAATCCTAATAATAATCACCACCCCAAGAGCCACGCTAATCCCGGGCGGCTGACTGAGGTGGAGGTCCCGGATTAACTGCCCTACTCTGACTCTCTGGCATCGGTGGGGCCCTGGACTCTCGGGGCTATTACCTGTGCAGCTTTCAGGCTCCCTGGCTTCCTGCATGCCAGCCGTCCTCCCCGTGACCCTGAGCACGTGCAGGGGCAGGGGCTCTCGGCCCCACGTCACAGCTGAGGACACAAGGGCCCAGGGGTGCAGGGACAAAGCATCCCTATGTGCTGGAGGCCGAGGCCCCGCCGTTTGTGCCCGGAAGCCAAAGCCCCATCCCAGCTGCCATCCCTCTCTGAACATCCTTTGAGCTGGACTCACTCTACTACATGGCATTGTTTCCTGAAAAAGCAGCCCACAGACAAATTTACTTTGTTTCTTTTCATGAGTTAAAAGATGTATTTTCTAGTACCAGCTGGGCTACTGGCCTGGGATCTGACTTGGGTGAATCATTACCCCTCTCTGAGCCTCAGGGGCCTCAACTATGAAACCAGAAGAGTGGACTAGACGATCCCAGAGTCTAATAACCCGTGATCTGTACAATGTCCATCTAGCAAACAGAGCCCTTTCCATGCCTGTGGCTGGAGAGTCCTGCCTTCAGGCCTTCCCACTCCCGGCAGCCTCCCTCTGGCTGTCTTCTCCCTTCTAGTATGTCTCCCTCCCCTGATTATAGTCCCCCCTCCTGGCATGCCTTCTCTCTCTGACTGTCTTCCCCCGCCCCTGGTGTGCCTCCTCTCCCTGACCATCTTAGTTCTGTGCTTCCCTCAGCAGACAAATTTCAACAAACATGATTAATGCAAAATATCCAAAGCAGAAAACAGAAAGCACCGCTGTGAATGTACACAGAAGACAAACTGGAGACAAAATTCATTGAGAACAATAACAAAGCAAGAGAATGAAAACCATTTGGGGTCAAGCTCAAAAATAACACGAATAAGCTCATATTTAAAACATATACATAGTTGAGTATTCGTGGGTTCTGAGCCAGGAAATGGCAAAGAGTGGGAGAATGTGTGTGTCTGTTTAAGGACTAAGGACAGAGCTAGAAAAGCTAGGGCAGAAAGGTCACTCCAGACAGCAGTGTAGAAATGCAGGGAAACGCATCTGGTGAAACCTCCTTTATCCAAAAGCCAGGTAAGTTTCTCTCATTCAAGTTGAATGGTAATTACACTCAGATATGCCAAACAGAATTCTCTTTATTCATCATACCAATCGGCCCCTGACAACCAGGAGAGAGGGAGATGGCAGGGGGTACCAGGTGCAGTGGTGGCCCTGGGAGCTGGGGGGCCACATGGGCCCCTCTGGAGAGCCAGCAGCCATTAGAATGCAAAGCTTGGGGACTGGAAGGCAGGCACCGGCAGGGCTGAAGTAGAACTTTCAGCTCAAGGGAACAGAGTGTGAAACTGTGTAAGAACCATAGAAAAGACTAGTTAGGGGGATTCCACTGCAAGAACCTTTGCAAATGAATGACCTGTACAAGGAGAATGGGCTGGGAAATTAAAGAATCAGGACGCAAGGTGTTCAGTGAGGTCCAGGAGGCTGCACCAGCAGGGAGCCAGGGGACACTCGTGGACCAGAGGAGGAAGGCCGGGGAGAGGCCAGGGAGGGCTGCCCCCGGCACAGGGATGGAGGCCGAGGGGCACCTCTCTGCTCTGTTCCCCGCTTGCAGCCGGCCTCTCTCCACCCTGGAAAGCAGGATGGTCAGTCTCTCTTTCAGACCTCAACCTGGCCATTTGCCAACTGCACAAGACATGGTGGGAAGGTTCTTCAAGTCTCTCATGCATAAGACGGAGACAATAATACCTTTTTTGCAGGATGTAAGGACTAGCGGCCTTTAATGTCTATTCAGAGAATTAATGTTGACAAAACGTCTGGCTCATAGTAAGTCATAATTCAGTGCAGCTGCTAATAGTAGCAAGTACTCTGCTTTGAGCAGAGGAGGTCAAGGAAAAGAGAAGACAGGAATAGCTAAGATCCTAAGAGTGTGGATTTGGAAGAAGAAATTCTGCCTCCTGCCCTCCTTTGATTTCTGAGAGGTGAAAACCCAAATGCTCTGGGGCGAGAAAGCCAATCCTCCGATTGCTCGGGTCCCAAACGCCCCAGTTATCGCACAAACATCATTGAGTCCCTGTACGTATATTGTGCCATTAGGCACAGGGACGCAGGGAGGAACAGGTGAGGGTGGACATGGAGTAGAATGAGCGCTGGGAGTTGGGTTAACAGTGCTGGCCTGGTCTCTGAATCATACTCTCAAATGGGCAGATCTCACAGCATCCAAGTTCTATCCTCCTTACTCACTGAAGCTGTTGAAATCAGGCTGGTGAGACACATCATCACCAGCTGTGTGGCCTTGAGTAAACCAGGCATTTCCTCCTGGAGCCTCAATGATTTTTTTACAGGAACCCCACCTGCCTCAATAATAAAACCTTCTTTCAACCCTCACAGCTGCACTTGGGGGCCCACTTTAAGATAAACTAATGCCCCCCGAAAGGACCCTGTGAAGGGAGAGTACTATGCGAATCAGAGGCGCCATCATCACTGCTTGCAGCCCTGGTGAATGTGGCAACTCTGAGGAGAGAGACTTCAGTGAGATAGAGAGGCCAGCGGGGTTCTTGGAGGAGGTGGGTTTGAGTGGGGTCTGAAGGATCAGTGAGCTTGGGTGATGGTGACGAAGAGGAGGAAGGAGGCATTGCAGGAGGAAGAACAGCCAGAGTAAAGCTTCAGGAGCGGGGAAGGCGAGCTGTGTCTCTGGGGCAGCGACAAGACAGTTCCACTGGACTGGAAGCTTCACACAGGGCAAGGGTGCAAGCTGGCCATCTATGGACCATGTACAGCCCACAGAGTTACACAGTTAAAACCTTCTAGAACATTCCGTGTTTCTGGTTTCTCTTGAAAAGTGGGAGGACCTTGCGCATGCCGGGTGCACATTCCAGCCTGGCCAAAATGGGCTGGGACCTGCCATAGCCCTATGTCTTCCTGATCCCAAGGCCACTTTACTCATTGACGTTGCCCACCTGGTTCTGTGTGCAGCTCCTGTATAAGGGAACAGTCGGGGGACAAGGCAGGCAAGATAGGGTGGGCCAGATGTGTGATGGGAAGCACACCAGGGATTGGAAAATCCTGGGTCCAAATCCTGGCTCCGTCACCTCCTAGCCAGCGACCGTGAGCAGCTTCCTGAATCAGTACTCTTGCTGGTTTTAAAAGACACCATATGAGATACACTTGGCACGGTACCTGACAGAGTAAGTGTTCAAAACAGTATTATTACTGTCTACCGTCAGGCTAAGAGGCTTTTAATGAATCTAGCAGACCTTCAGGAGCCACGAGGCAGGAGGTGGTACGGGAACCATGTATGTCATGAAAGGTGCCTCTGACAGTCACGTGCAGGGCAGCAGGAGAGGGGGCCGGGGACCAGCCAGGCAGGGCTGGAAGAGAACGAAGTGGGCTTTAAAAGCTCTAATGTTGTGGGACCCGGGCAAGAGTACAAATGGAGGCCTGTACCTTTTGCCATTATATTTAAGAGTTATAAATGAAGCTAACAAATTATTAAATACCTTCTTCCACCTATATGAATGTAACAGCCTGGAAGGCCAGGTTCATATCTAGAATTCTCCATCTCCTTGTGGCTGTACCCATTGGAACAACATGACCCTGGAGGGGAACCTCCCATTAGGTGGGTGAGCCTGCAGCCTGACCCCCTGCTCTACCCCCAGCCAGAAACTCTTGGAGGCTCCAGCTGACACACCCAAACTCTGACTACCCTGTCCTCATTAGCCATTGGCCATTCTCATGCCTGGGGATGTGGGCACTGTGTGTATTCTGTAGGGAGGTGGATTTAACCCAGGAGAGAGACACGGGCATAGGCCTTGTGGGAAGAAAATCCCAGGGTCCTGACAGGGTGGTATGGGCTCCCAATGCAAGGGGGGCTTGGCAAGGCAGGGAGTACTCCCGGGCCTCTGGGAAGGGGTGCGCAGGAAGAATGCCTAAACAAGACCGGCCCGGGCAGGCCCTGCGGGCTCCGGTGAGCAGGAGGGTACCTGTGGCAAGGGAGATGTTCCTCAGCGCGATGGAATGCTCCCAGTCCTTGAGGCGCAGGTCCTCCGTGACCGTGTTGAGCATGGCCAGCTCCTGCGTGAGCTGCAGCTCCATGCGCATGTGCACCAGCCGCATGCGGCGCGAATCCTCGCTGGCGTTGCTCACCAGCACCTGCAGGTCGCGTAGCCGCGTGCTGTGCAGGGCCACGTCGTAGGACAAGCTGTGGTTGAGGCCGCGCAGCGCGCCGCCCACGTCAGCCAGCTCCTCGCCCAGGACACCCACCCGGCGCGCCAGCCCGTCGAGCAGGCCGGCGTGGCGCCGCAGCAGCAGCTGACTGCGGTTGCTCTCCACCTGCAGCTGGTAGAGCTCCAGCTGCGCCGCGTCGCTCTGCTGGCTGGTGAGGTCGCGCAGCAGGGCCACCGCCTGCTCTGTCTGTGCCGCCTGCGCCTGCAGCCCCCACAGCGCGCCCTCCAGCCGCTGCACGGCGCTCGCCAGCGCCAGCAGGGAGTCCGACTGGTTCTGCAGCGCGTCCTGCACCTTCCACACCTGCTCAGTCAGGTCCGCCTGCAGCGGAGCCTGCAGCAGCCGCAGCTGCAAGTCCCGGAAGCTCTCGTTCAGCCGGTTCACGTCCCGAGTCAGCGCCTTCAGGTCGTCCGGGGAGCTGCGAGGCCTGGACACTGCAGAGGAGGAGGGGACACATGAGCGCCACTGGCCAGGTCCCCGGGTCCCAAGAGGCAGCCCGACCAGAGCCGGGCATGCAGCAGGTGCTCCAGAAGCGCAGATGAGGGGAAAGCAAAATGGGCACCGCACTAAACCAGCGGTCCCCAAATTTGTCTGCCCATTAGAATCACCTGGCCAGGCGTCCCACCTGCAGAAATTGCATTGAATTTTTTCAGGGTGTGACCTGGGCTCTGGGATTCTTTTAAAGAGCCTGAGATAATTCTGAGGTGCGGACAAGTTTGGGAACCGCTGTACTCAATCTAACTATTAGGTAGGAAGCTGATCCATAAGAAATGGTCATTGTCATATGTTGAAAAAGGTCAGAAATCAGCAGTTTCCCCGGGCTCACCCCACAATATTGTGTGGTTATCCTCTCAACCTCGGGGCAGGCCTTTAATTATCGCTTTTTAGGGCAAGAGCAGTTAGAGTTGCCCATGGTAGCACAGCAAGTAAGCTGTGGAGCCGGATTCCGACACAGAGCGCCTCCTTGCTCTAGAGCCCAGGCGCTTCCTACGAGTCTTCGCTACCAGCACTGCCTGGAGGAACCAGGCCAGAAGCAGACGCAGCGGCCCTAGGCAACACGTGCATGTCCCAGCCTCCTGAGCTCAGGGTCCCATTCCCTCCTGGTCACCTGCTGCAGCCAGGGCCCCTCTGGGCAGGTGCACATGCTTCCATATGCATACCCCTCTCCCCCACCTCCTCCAGCCCTTCTCTAGATGCCCCGTTTCCCTCAGGCAAACAACCCATTGCAGTGACTTCCCACCCTCTCCACTTGGAGAGGTTTCCTTTTCTCCATTACAAGCAGCTATTTCACAATGCTAAGGGGAGGGATGAGCATCTTAATGGTTGTCCTCTAGCTTCCGGGGCCTCCTGGAAGCTTGGGGACTGCAGGAACTCAGGTACACAGCAAACCCTGGTGGTGGGGTGCCTAGCGATGCCTGTTGTCTGTCTGCTGTGGACTGTCCACAGCTGTCCCCCTATTGGCTCTGCACAGGACAGAAATGGAAGCTAGTAGTTGGAGGTAGAGAAGAAGAAACGTTGAGGGAATTCTGTCTTGGGAATCTTAGAATGCAGGGAACCAGGGGACTTGGTACACAGCCTATTCAAAAGGGGGTCATAGGCATGAGTGCCTGGCTCATGCACCAACCGGCTGCCACAATCCTTCAGCGGTGCGGAAGTACCCAGTGCTTATGGCGGCCGCTCTGGAGGACAGAAGTCATTTCAGATTTGATTCAGACGCTCATAGCACTAGATGGACCTGGGCGTCTCATCCAACTTCACCCCGCCCAGTGCTTCCAACTCCAAGGAAATCACACTGCCAAGTGGCTGCCCATCCTCCACTTACACCCATCTCTCCACAGTTTAGTTCTAACTGCTGGAACATTCTACACTCTGGTCAGACTTGAAATTTGCCTCCTCCTCATTTCTATCCACTGATCCTGCCCTCTGTGAAAAAGAGCTAGAGAAACCTTTTTTTCACAAGACAGCTCTTCAGAATTTTAAGACAGTTATCACATCCTTACTAAGTGATAACATTTCTGGTTTAAAATCTGGAATTTCTTCATCCGTTCTCTCCCATGACCAAATTCTAAGCCTCCAAACATCCCAGCCAGTCTCTAATGTACATACCGTCTCTAATGTACATACCCTAGTGTGTTATCATTCCCTTCAAGGGGGGTGCTTGATTTAAATGTGTTTTTTCTCGGGTGTGGACAGACTGGGCACAGTGGGGTAGAAGGATCATCTCCTTTGTTCTGGGCATGAGACCACTATTAATGTGGCCCAAACTGGGCTCTGTTTAGGTTCATCTGAACTTTCCCTGACTTTGGACATTGGATTGTGGCCTATGCAGTCTTTGGTGAACATTTTCCCCAATTTACAGATGAATAGACTGAAGCCAGCAGAGCAGAAGCCATCTGCCTGACGTCATGCTACCTGACTCCTGTCAGCGGTGCCCGCCACTACTGTGGAAGGTTAGTTGAAGACCTGTCAATCCAAGTAAAGGTTCTGGAAAAATGTATCTGTGGCCCAATCAGAACCCAAGTAACCACAGGAATTGTCTGCTTGAGAAATCCTCATAGGCCGGGACTTGATTTTAAAACCAGTGCACTTGCCAATATTTGACCCAGATTGGTTGACAAATATGAGGCAGAACTGTGGGCCACCAGAAAGCCTGATTCAGTGTCAGTCTCTGCTCATGATGCCCCCGGAGCTCAGAGAGACACTGCAGCTTATCAGCAGTGGGAACAGCCCTCCGAGTTTTGCAAATTCTGGTTTTAACATTGGGATTGTAAGAGAAGGAGCACAACCTACTTGATTGAATTCAGAGGACTGATTCAGGGCAACACGGTGAGCTAGGCGATTTCCTTTGCCCCCTCTCTCTGCCAGCCCCCGTAGTCCTCTCCCCTCTTTGAGTGGTCCCTGTGCCCGACTCGTGCCCTCTGCCTGGGAGGCCCCTGGCCCTGCCCATCAGCGCCCTCCTCTTGGAATCGACCACCCCTAGAGCCCCTTCTGTCTTTCTGGGAAACTGGGCTGAAACTTGCCCATATGGTGATTGCTAACAGTCAGCTAACCCATCCCAGAGGGTTCATCTGGGCCTTTTATTATTGCTCATTGCACAACCAATATTAACATAAGTTCGAATAAAAGAAAGAAAAAAATTCTTCCACAATCCCACGACCTCCAGCAAAGCACAGTGGTTTCCCTTCTGTTTTCTTTTTCTAGAGCCATCAATATGCATACCCAATCTTTACAATTTGATTTCTGGCTATTTGGTTTTTTTTTTTTTTACCTAATATAATTATTTCATAACCATTTCCCCATCCTTCTCTCTTATAATTATAGGTTCGATGGTCACATGAAAGTCCATCAAGGGATGTGTTTCTAGTTTAGTCATTCTCTTACTGTTGAATATTTTTTCTCAATCATGGAAAATAAATGCAGCAAAGTTTTTCTTCTTTTGACATTTTTTCCTAACAGTAAATTCCCAGAAGTTGGATTAGTAGATCAAGACTATAGATATTTTTATGACTTGAAAAATTCCAGCCAAATCACTTTCCCAAAAGTTAGACCTATTTACGCGTATATTATAGATTTTTAAACATGCCAGATTCCGTGAAACCTTGGTGCCCTGAGCATCACAACTTACGAATTGTTCATTTCACTGATGTAAAATAATACCTTGTTATTGTTTTATGTCAGGATATTTGCATCTCCAAAGTGGCCTTTTCAAGGCAATGCATTAGCTCAAAGGAATGATTTACACATTTTAGGTACCCAGGCTAATCAGAACAGAAATTACTTGGAGGGCTAAGTACCCTTTGGGCACCAAATCATGTTGTATGAGCCCAGCACAGCCTCCCTTTTTGGGGATCACTTACCCACCCCCGAAATGAATTATCTCCTTCCAACAGCCACAGTGTGTTCTCAGCTCACAGCATCACCACCACCCACCCTCTTCCCCTGTTTAATTCCTTCCAGATGTGTGCTGTCCTCAACAGGGAAAAATTCTTCCTTGAGTGTGACTCTCTTAATCCATGTTTATGCAAACTGTTCATTTATCTCTCTGCCTGGCGTATTTACTTTTAATGTGCTTTAATTATTCTTCAACTTTTATACATTCACGAAGGGGAAAATAAATTACAGAGTAACAATAATAAATGGCATTTCCTGAGTACTTACTATATGCCAGGGGCTGTTCTAAGGGCTTTCCATTTTAATACATTTAATCCCATAACAACCCTATGAAATGAGTATTATTATTATCCTCCTAGGCCAAACAAGGAGACTGAGGCGCACAGAGGTTAAGTAACTCACAAGGTCACACAGCCAATAGCCTGCGGAGACTGACTTTGGGCCCTAGAAGTCTGGTTCCAGAGCTCCCAGCTCTTGACTGCTTTTCCATGCTGCTCAAAGGGTGGAAGGCACAAAACAAACTTTTTACAAGACACACAGAAATTAAATAAGCTTTGAAGGTAGTGAGTTTCCCATCATAAACCCAGGCTGGAGTCAGGCTGCTTGGCCGCAAACATATAGAGATTCAAATTCAGATTCTGATTGGTATTCATTGCTCAATACTAATCAATGTGTTAATGTCTAATTTGTAATACTATATGATTAAAGTGTGGGTGTCTGCCTCAGGCCATGCCCTGGGCTAGGGGTTTGCATACACCTCCTGCCCCGTTCTCATCTGCCTTCCCCCCTACACACTGGCCCCAGGTCAGTTCCCTGTTCTGTAATTGTCCTTTAGGTCCATGAAAAAAAATAATTATGTCTTGGTTAAGTCAAGGTCCTCCAGATGTGACACACCAGAGAGGCCGTCTTCCCCAAACACACCAGGCATAGTGCAAAGCCATGGGCAGAGGCCCGCGGCAGGGCGGAGCAAGAGGCTAAGTGCTCTGTTCCACGGTTAGTAACCAAAACTGGGCATTGGTGTTAATAACCCTTTATCTCTGTATAAAAGTTTGTATCCATTGCCCCAATTAATTTTCAGCATATCTAACCTTGGGAGGTAGGCGGGGCAAGTATTCATAATCTCATGTAGGGATAAAAACTCTAATTTTCCATGGACCCCTGAGAAGTCAGGAGATTGCTGGAAGCATAAAATAAGGAGAAACGGGGTCATCTGTCCCATAGTCCAGGACCCTGTCCTCTACACCTGCTGCTGGCAGGGGTCAGTCACGTGCCAAACTCCAACATTCATATGGGGAAGCAGGGCAGGAGATGGCATTTATTTGCACTCACTATTTGCCAAACTCCATGTAGTGTCTTACGAGAAGTCGCTTCATTTACTCCTCCCAACAAGCTGGTGAAGTAACTGTTATCCCAGGTTCGGACAGAGAAGCTCAAGAAGGGGGCAGAGAGTGAAAGCAGGCCCAGGCTGCTGGTCTCGGGTCCCGCTAGCCTCACTGCCCTTCCTCCTCAGCACAAGCAGCCCAGGGCGTCTCTCCCCTTTCTT